AACTAGATAATCCCTCACACCAACCTAATCACAGGAAGAATAAACTGACTGCACATTTGTTTTAAAAATMTTCTAAACATCTCTAGCGTGACATTAGCTGGGTTTCCATCAATGTTTTTTATGTGCATTTTGAAGTAAAAAWTTCGCAAAAATGTTTTTACGCTCATTTGAGGTAGTTTTTGGATTTCCTGAAATAGAATTGTTCAGCAAATGTATTTCCATCTCCCCTTTTGCGCATTAAGTTCTGACATAGTGAACATTTACGTCAATCAGCTGTTCCTGCTGTCCAATAATTGTAGCGGCTGCAGCTGGACCCTCCTCCTGTTGTCTGTATCTTCCTGGATATTCCCGTGATGTGAAGAGAATTACATTTCTCTCTCTTCGTCTGCAGACAGCATGTAACATCACCAACACTAGCTGATATGACAGAATAATTACAACTTTCCTGATAGCAGCAATATGTTTGATAACTTCTCTCCATTATCCTGAGATGTGTCCCTGTGAGTTTGACTTTACTTCCTGTTTACTACAGTCATGTGTAACATCAGTGTCTGATGTAATGTAATTACACTTTGTGTAGCCTGGTTGATTCACTCCAACCAGTTGATGGAAACACGTCTGATGTGCGTTTCTTTTTTTGCAGCATTTCAAAAGTTCGCTCAGAATTCCCATTAAAAGTGGATGGAAACACAGTTAGTGTTTATGTGAAATGCATTTAAGACTCAGTGGAAATGAACAAATTTTCCTTCATGTGTTAAAGGATACATGAAAGTGGGGACGCCTCTGGAAGCCAGGTGTTTCCTGATGAGCCTCTCTGTGCCRTACCAGTTGAACCCTTTGGTGGAGTGGCCGATTCGAGGAAGATGAACACTGGCTGTGTTGGAGGAAAAGCACAGAAAGTGGGATAAGAGTTGCATCCCTGGAAGAAATGTACATGTTTTCTATGAACAACTTTACCGTTGCTTCTCTTGGCTGCAGCATAAATCTTCTTCAGTCCTTCATCCAAAGCACTCAGGAGGATCCCAGACAGGTTGTTGGACTTGTCTCGTTGTTGTGCCACTATCAGGGCTAACTGAGGCGACAGGAAGGAGATCAAAGCTAGTTAGGTTACTAGCTGCAGTTTTCTCGGCCACAATTGTGAAACTCTGCAACCACACCTAAACCTAACCCATATGCATCGCACAGATGATCACTTTAACTGCAAAGACAGAGTTGGCAGTATGAAAA